ACCACCAAAAAGGTAGCCCTAGTATGGTATTTAAAAACACTATTTCTTTCTTTTTTTTTTTTGAGACAGAGTCTCCCTCTGGAGGGAGTGGTACAATCTCAGCTCACTGCAACCTCTGCCTCCTGGATTTAAGCGATTCTCCTGCCGCAGCCTCCTGCTGGGATTATAGGCATGCACCACCATGCCTGGCTAATTTTTGTATTTTTAGTGGAGATGAGGTTTTGCGATGTTGACCAGGCTGGTCTCGAACTCCTGGCTTCAAAATGATCCACCCGTCTCAGCCTTCCAAAATGCTGAGATTACAGGCGCGAGCCACTGCACCAGGCCTAAAATGCTATTTCAATCACACAATAGCCCCGGAAGGACTTTAAGCTAATGGAAGAGGTTGGTACAGAAAGCCATGGACCCCTGTTTGCATGCTCTATCACACCTCTTTGCTGGGAAACAGTAACCTACTCCAGATCACTGCCAATGTCTCTCCTTAAGGCTGCCATAACTTGCTTTTCCCCTCTGGATAGTCTCTGAAAGGCTTCTATGATACTCCAAGCCAATCTATCTAGAGAGGCAGCATGGTGTAGTAGAAAGAATCTGGCACATGGGAGGTGGAAAAGCACAGTATGGTTAAGAGGATGGGCTCTGTTTCTAGCACTAATTGTATAATTTTAGGTGAATTACTTAATTGTTTTATGCCTTAATTTCTTCATTTGTAAAACTAGGATAAAAATATCTTCTTCATTGTACTGTTTTGAAGATTAAATTTTTAAAAAGTGTATAATACTTCCTAAGCGCCTAAAATGTAATAGTCATTGAATAAAAGATCTGGGATTGATTTCCTTCAGTATTACAACTTCTTTTAAAAAATTATTTGACCTCTCTCAGTCTTAATTTCTTCATCTTAAACTGTGAATAACAAAACCTATTCTCATAGGTATAGGTGTACAGACATAACATAAATATGAATATGAATCTGTAATGGGTGTTCCAAATACATTTGAAAGTGATTGTTTTTAAAGCATTATTTAAATGTTTTAAAAACAGCATGAGGAATACCAAACTTTTAACTGCTAAGAGTCACTGCAGGGCTAAAGGAGGCCAGCCCTTAGTTGGTCTTTCCACTACACTTGCTGGCCTGTGCTACTTAACACCTTGCTAGTGATTCCAGAGCTCAGGGGATTCAAATCAAGACCAAAACAGCTTGTCCACATTGGAACCTGGACCTGAACAACAGAAGCACAGCTACCATGCCAGAGTCCAGAAGCAAGTAAGACAGCTCTACCACAAGTTTTGTTGAGTAGATGAGATGGGCACACAAAAAATTTGTTTTGAAGATGAAGTGGGGATAGTTTTATCCCCCTTTTTGTTTTGTATTTAGTGAGTGCTTAGCCAGGTTCTTAGCAACAAGTATAATTTGGAGTATAAATATGATGGGTTTGTAGTCCAGTGACAAATCTAGAAATTAACTATATAAAAAGAAAGCTTCAAAAGAGTATGATCTATAAGCTTGTGACCAGATTTTGGTCAACTTTTGGACAAGTGACATGGATATACAGGAACTAACATTACATTTTTGGCTTGTATTCAGGCCAGAATGCTTTTTCACATTAAGAAGTAGCTTTTTCACACAACAGGAAGGAAAGGCCTGACTGAGGCACACTTTGTATTTTTGTCTAGGTTACCTGAGTCTCTCAAGATTTTTCTCCATTAAAGTATAACTACTTATTTTAGTAAATATTCAACTCATTCAATAAAAATTTATTTAGTGCCTATTATGTACCAGACATTTCAAGGTGTTGGGGGTACAAAAAGAAATTAAAAAACCAAACAAAACCATGAAGCTCTATTATAACTTAAAATATACGTTACATTTTAGAAACCAAGACTTTGCTGCATTTTAAAAAAATTTATTACTTATAATTCTCAAAAAACTTGCAAATAGGCTAAATGAATTGGCTGCCATGCATTATTAAGAACTATTTGTACTTGTCATAATCTGGGTTCCACTTTGGCTTAATACCATTTAAGCATTAATATTTTACAGTCTCAGACATGAAATGATACAAATTCAAATTCCTTCACTGACAACTGAGACAGAAATGCTTTTAAATTACCTGAGTACCTGAGAGTTCTAACTATCCAAGGAGCTCATTAAAGTAGAGGATGTATGGGAATTTCATAACAGCAAGTTTACCATACAGAATGAAAACTAGTTTCCAGCTTTTCATGCCTTATTTTGTCTTCTATAAACTAAAATTTCCTTTGGCTAGTGACACTGGTCAGATATGATTCAGACAAAACCACTGCAAAAGACAGATGTAGTTTACTGAGTATAACTACTGGGTACCTATATTAAAATGCATTTTTTCTGGTAAAGTTCAGGACAAAGTGAAAGACATAAGATTAGACATGTGCTTGCTCATATTCTGGGTCAAGAGACTCTGCAGTTATTGTCTTCTGTCTTTAGGGGAGGACTCAACTGAAGCTTCATGAGGTTCCTGTTCCTGTTCTATAGGTTTTCAAGGGAGGGGGTCAGGGAGAACTGAACAAAGGAAATAGGAGCTAGACAGTGCTGTCCAACTGAACTTTTGGCAAGAATGGAAAATGTTCTGTACATGTACTGTCTAATACGATAGCCACTAGCACATAAGGTTACTGAATACTTGAAATGTGACTAGTCAGAATTGAGGAATGGAAATTTCATTTAATTTTAATCTATTTAAAAAGACACATGCATGCTGTGTGCAGTGGCTCATGCCTATAATCCCAGCACTCAGGAAGGCAGAGGCAGGAACCCAGGAGTTGAGATCAGCCTGGGCAACACAGAGACCCTGTTCTCGACAAAAAGGAAAAAAAAAAGAAAAGAAGGAAAAAAAAGAATAGAAGAGGAAGGAAGGAAGGAAGGAACGAACGAAGGAAGGAAGGGGCACATATGATTAGTGGCAACTATACTGGACAATACAGATCTAGAGAGATTAAAAAACTAAATTAAAGGTCCTAAAATCCTAATGAATGTAAACAAGGTAGGTGCTGTTATAGGAAAATACTGAAAGCTCTGATGCTTAGGTAACATCAGAAGTTAAAACTATGCAGGAGAAAGCTTCCTAAATGTGGTTTATAAGCCTGTGTTAATTCAGAGCCTACAATTAAATGCTGTAAGTGGTATACAAGCTAATAACTTTGGATTTGTGATCCCTGTGAACCCCCAAGTCATTTTCAGGTTGACTTCTATATAGGAATAAGGTAAACACTGGTTCGGGAAACTTTCTAGTGACAATGTGATTTTTATCCCTCAACATCAGGACAATTACAATCATTCCCCGGGTCCTCTCCTCTCTTTGTGACTAAATTCCCCTAGGCCTGGGTCACACCCCTAGTTACTCCATAGTTCCATTCTTGTCCTGAACCAGGAAGTCAATGCTTTGAGACATCTGGCAGGATTTCCTGAGGCTTATTATCCAGAGTGTAAAGATCTGCTTAGCAGCCACATTCCACAGTCTTCCAAACGTTTCTCCAGAAAAAGTGGGGAAAATATAAAAGGAAAGCAAGAAACCTTAAGGACAAGAAACCTAAAAAACTAGGTGTTGTGTATTATCTTTAATCATAGAATGTAAAGTACAGCTAAAGTCAAAGGTACATAATAACAAAAAGTTCTGCTTTGAGTTTAAGGAGCCATCCTGTACCATCACCCCTGCCCCCACCATCCTTTTTAACTCAATAGAAGAAAAAAGGAGGCATAACATTTGGTAAAAGTAAGGTTTAAAGACACGGAAAAATAAAACAGATTGTGGTTTAAGTGGGATCTCTTTGAATCTGGGACCACTGGTGCCCTAGAATCACCAAAGTGAATCATTACTGATTACAGCAGAGTAGACCAGGTGCAAGGCTCTTGCCTGTAAACCTAGCACTTTGGGAAGCCAGAGCAGGAGGATTGCTGAAGTCCAGGAATTCAACACCAGCCTGGCCAACATAAGGAAATCTCATCTCTAGAAAAATTAGAAGAAAAACAAAAGGAGATCAGACAGCTGGGCATGGTGGTGCATGCCTGTATTTCTAGCTACTTAGGTTAGGAGGCATGGATCCCTAGAACCTAGGAGGAATTTGAGGCTGTAGTGAGCAGTGACGGCATCACTGCACTTCAGCCTGGGCAATAGAGTGAGACATTGTATCAAAAAAAAAGGAAAAAGAAAAAGAAATAAAAAAGAAAACAAACATAGAGCAGACTGCCAAGAAAAAGCAGCTTTTTTTCCCTGGAAATGTAACTTTGAAACCACTTGCTTTATATCATGACTACCTAAAGATGAGATGAAGGTATGGAATAATGGTAAACGCACAACCAAAGACATTCACTAAACATTCTTGTCTCTCAAGACTGTGGCTAAGATACTTATGTTCTCTAGTTTTATGTCTTGAACTTTAACAGCAGAACTGCACAAGACATTTTTGTGATAAAAGGCAACTGGGGCTGGGCATGGTGGCTCACGCCTGTAATCCCAGCACTTTGGGAGGCTGAGGCAGGCAGATCACTTGAGGTAAGGAGTTTGAAACTGGTCAACATGGCAAAACCCCATCTCTACTAAAAATACGAAAATTAGCCAGGCATAATGGCGCATACTTGTAATCCCAGCTACTCCAGAGGCTGAAGCAGGAAAGTCACTTGAACCCGGGAGGTGGAGGTTGCAGTGAGATGAGATTGTGCCACTGCACTCCAGCCTATGCAACAGAGTGACACTCCATCTCAAAAAAATAAAAAGGCAACTGGAACAGGTTACTTAAAAAGCAGTTTTCACATTTTGAAATGGTACCACCATACCTGTCATTAGAGGAGAAATCCATTCCTAGGACGATGCTTTCTTCAGTGTCTTGTCTACCATTAGTTGAAACCACTACCATATAGCGTGTTCGATTCTGGTAAGTACTTTCCAGTCTTACAGCCTGGAAGTTAGCAGACAACAGAAAAATTATGAAATTTAGAATATTAATTTCAGATAATTTCAACCCTTTTGCATCAGCGTCTTAAAGCATACTCAGGAAGGCAGGAGAGCCAGAGGTTAGGAGACATAAATTTAAATCTCAGCTTGTACACTAGCTATAAAACCTTTGTTAAGTTATTAAATTAATTGGCGGTAGGTATAATAATACCGATCTGTCAGGTTGTTTTAAGAATCTTATAAAATAATACACTTAAAGCACAGTGCTTGGCACACAGTAAATGCTGAATAAGATGTTTGCTATTAGTGTAATTTATAATAATCACCACAGTGTGTACCAAAGACTGAAGAGGGAAGTGTGAGGTATATGAATGTATTGGTCTCAGAGATGCAATTCCCACAAACAATTATAATATGAAATAAACTATTAGCATCATCTAAGGGGAGTATTGACTTTGCTATACTGAATTCCTGCACGTTAATACACCACAAGATTTTTTGTTTCAATAACTAAAGGAGATTTTATTTTCAGAAACTTCTCATTTTTTGTCAAAAGTTTTAATTTATTGGTTAATTAAATTTTAAAAGAACACTCAGAAAATTTGAAGATGGACAGGATCTTAGATGAAATTCAGGATTTACTGTTAGTGTAATAATGACATTGTGGTTACTGTGCCTTTTTCTTAAGTACCTGGAGAAAAATAACATGGTTTCTGAGTTTTACTGTAATAATGACATTGTGGTTACTGTGCCTTTTTCTTAAGTACCTGGAGTAAAATAACATGGTTTCTGAGTTTTACTTTAAAATGTTCCAACAAAAGCATTTAAAAAGGAGAGGGGATAGATTAAAGAAGTCAGGCAAAAGGTTGATGGTTATTAAAGCTGAGTAACAGCCAGGCGCAGGTGGCTCACGCCTGTAATCCCAGCATTTTGGGAGGCTAAGGTAGGCGGATCACCTGAGATCAGGAGTTCGAGACCAGCCTGTCAACATTGTGAAACACTGTCTCTACTAAAAATACAAAAAAAATTAGTTGGGCGTGGTGGCACATGCCTGTAATCCCAGCTACTCAGGAAGCTGAGGCAGGACAATCACTAGAACCCAGGAGGCAGAGGTTACAGTGAGCTGACATTGTGCCACTGCGTTTCAGCCTGGATGACAGAGCGAAACTCTGGCTCAAAAAAAAAAAAAAAAAAAAAAAAAGCTAAGTAATGAGTTTATGAGGATGTATTTTCTACTTTGATATGTTTGGAAATTTCCTTAATAAGTTTAAAAAGATACCTTATAAGCCTTAAAAATAAAACAACTTCAGGTGAAACATTCAAATATTTATTACACATATATTATATAAATAATAATGCCAAGTACTGAGGATTCAGTGGTGGAAGACAGAGACATGATTTATACCCTCCTTGAGTATACAGTCTAGTCTACTCTTCTTTCATTTGTTAATAATAGTTTTTAAATGACAAATTTTTTTTTTTTTTTTTAAAGAGATGGAGTCTTGCTCTGTCGTGCAACCTCTGCCTCCTGGGTTCAAGCAATTTTCCTGCCTTAGCCTCCCAAGTAGCTGGGACTACAGGTGCATGCTGCCACATCTGGCTAATTTTTTTTTTTTGTATTGTAGTAAAGACAGTGTTTCACCATGTTGCCCAGGCTGGTCTCAAACTCCTCAGCTCAGGCAACCCACCTGCCTCGGCCTCCCAAGGTCCTAGGATTACAGGCATGAGCCACGGTGCCTGAACTTTTTTTATTTTTTTTGAGACAGGGTCTCACTCTGTCACCCAGGCTGGAGTGAAATGGTGTGACCTTGGCTCAGTGCAACCTCCATTTCCTGGGTTCAGGTGATTCTCCTGCCTCAGCCTCCTGAGTAACTGGGATTACAGGTACACGTCTGGATAATTTTTGTATTTTTAGTAGGGATGGGGTTTCACTATGTTGGCCAAGCAACCAGGCTGGTTTTGAACTCCTGACCTCAGTTGATCTGCCCACCTTGGCCTACCAGTGCTGGGATTACAGGTGTGAGTCACTGCACCCAGCAAAATGACAGCTCTTTGAAACCAGGAAAATGTGATCTAGAGGCAAATTCTTCTGTATAAAATAACCCCTATTCCTTAGAAAAACAGAATTCTAATCCATTAACTGGCTCCTATTTGTCAGAAATTTCTGCTTGGAATTTTTTTTTTCAGTGCTGCTGTTCTTAGAGTCTTCTTCCCCTTAACTCTGTAACTATTCCAAAATGACCAGGCCAAGAGAAAAAGAGAGATAGCTGCACGGCTCAAATGACCCATTTAGCAAGGTAGAGGTGGCTATATTTTTGTTTCTACTCTGATACTCCTAGGAAAAGCTAGAGAAGCACAAACAGCAGAAGTGGCTACATTAAATCTTGTTTCTAATAGGAATGGATATAACAAGAATGTAATGTTTACCATTCTGATGCCAAATGCATAGGACAGAGTACTTCTGACTTCATGTTCCATGAAGTAACTGAGCATTTAAAACCAAATTCACTTATGAGAAAATTAAGAAGAACTAACATTTAAATGAACTAAGGTCTAGAAGGCTGTGATCAAGGGTGGGACATTATACACATAGAACAATGGATAAATAGTAAATGTATATGTGGTGGACTGGAAGCCAGTACTGACTCCTTGTCTGCTTGTAGAAACACTATGCAACATGTTAATTAACCAGAAAACCTGGTGCAGGTAAACTAGAATTTCTTATAAACAAGATCTCACATATTATTACATATTTATACTTGGGCCTCCCTTGGCCCAAGTTTCCTGAATGTGTTAGAGGATCTTTTATTCTCTGTTAAGGCTCCAAGAATTTCTGGCAAGGCTCAAATACAAATGGCCTGAGAACAAGTGAACTGTGTTTCTTACAATTTATCTACAGCTCCTACACCAACCAGTGGCAACCGATTAGCAAAGTCAAAGCTGATAAAAAGAAAAATAAAACTTTCATATTACCTATAATGCAAGCTATCAGACCGAGTTAAAAGTGAGCTGCAAGAGTTTCTTTTTAAGTGATATTCATTGCAAACATTAGTTGTCTCTTTTTTTTTTTTTTTTTTGGCAGAGTCTCACTCTGTTGCCCAGGCTGGAGTGCAGTGGTGTGATCTCAGCTCACTGCAACCTCTGGACCCCGGGTTCAAGCGATTCTGCCTCAGCCTCCCAAGTAGCTGGGATTACAAGTACCTGCCACTGCACTTGACTAATTTTTGTAATTTTAGTAGAGATGGGGTTTCACCATCTTGGCCATGCTGGTCTTGAACTCCTGACCTTGTGGTCCACCAGCCTTAGCCTCCCGAAGTGTTGGGATTACAGGTGTGAGCCACTGTGCTCAGCGAGTTGTCTCTTTTTAAAAAGTTTATTTTACCATATCAAAAGCATTTCAAATGTTTGGCTCTCCCTTGCTTACTCAAACTGTAACAGAAGATCCCAAACCTAATGAGAAGGGCCCCAGCCATTTCACACTGACTTAAGCTTGAATAACATGCATATCTCAGATCCATTCAATTTTAAGCTTCTTTTTTGTTTTTGTGTTTTATTCTGTTACCTAGGCTGGAATGCAGTGGGGTGATCTGCAACCTCTGCCTCCTGGGGTCAAGCAATCCTCCCACCTCAGCCTTCCAAAGAGCTCGGACCACAAGTGCCCGCCACTATGTCTGGCTAAATTTTTGTATTTTTGGTAGACACAGGGTTTCACCATGTTGTCCAGGCTGGTCAATTTTAAGCTTCTTAGATGGAAGAATAGTACTTAAGAATTACTGGGATTTGATTACAGACCTTTAGATAGTACCTACAGCATTAATTCAACACCTATATCCTAATTAGAAGAAGAGCTAAAATCTTTAAAGAAAAAATTCTGAAATGTGAGGGGATAAACCCAAGACTTTAAAGTTCCTTTTAGGCTGGGCACAGTGGCTCATGCCTGTAATCCCAGAACTTTGGGAGGCTAAGATGGGCGGATCACTTGTGGTCAGGAGTTCCAGACCAGTCTGGCTAACATAGTGAAATCCTCTCTCTACTAAAAATACAAAAACAAACAAACAAAACCAAATTAGCTGGGCATGGTGGCACACGTCTATAATCCTAGCTACTTAGGAGGGTGAAGCAGGAGAATTGTTGGAATCGAGGAGGAGGAGGTTGCAGTAGGCCGAGATCTCACCACTGCACTCCAGCCTGGGTGGCAGAGCGAGTGAATGAAATTCTCAAAAAAAAAAAGTTCCTGCAACAGCCCCTCCCAGCCTGCCCCTCCTGAGGCTGCCCCAGAGCCCGGGAGGGAGGTTGCTGTACAGGGGAGCACAGGGAATGGGAGACCCATCCGACGCTCAGCCCTAGCCCTCAGCCCACCCGCGGGGAGTTTACTGCCTGGGGACCCCCCTTGCCCATGCCTCCAGCTGCAAAACAATTCAATTGGCTTTTTTTTTTTTTTTTTTTGGTCCAAAATAAAATCTCAGCTAGCTCAAAAAAAAAAAAAAAAAAAAAAAAAAAAGTTCCTTTTAAGCTTCAAGATCCTAGGTTAAGGTGAGAAGGGAGACCCAGGCATTTGGGATTCCCTCCCCCGCCCGTCATCCATTGTGCATCTCAATAGAAGAGAGAGCAGGCCAGTTGGCGCCTCCTGAATTCCCTTCCTGAAAACAACAGGCTAGGCCTTGGGGAAACTCTCCAGAAGGTACTATATTTACTTAAAACAAGATCAAACCAGAGAACTTTTCACATGTGAGTCCTAAAACTGTAAACCGGAACTCTTTCATATGTGATTCCTGAAACTGTAAACAGAGAACTTTTCACATGTGAGTCCTAAAACTGTAAACTGGAGCCCTTTCAAATGTAATTCCTGAAACTGTAAACAGAGACCTTTTCACATGTGAGTCATAAAACTACGAACCTAAGATTCTTCCAGGTGTAACATCTAAAGTATAAGCCTATATAAAGGCTGAACCTCCCTTTGTTAGAGGAGCTTGGCTGTTAGGCACCTATGCCACCAAGCCCCCAGCTGAAATAAATTCCTTCCTCCTGTATTCGGTGCCCGAGAGATCCTTTCCCGCGGCCGCTCCTGCTACAAAGGAATTACAAATCTATGTGTCACAGGCATAAGGAAAGTCTAACACTCATCCTGGTTTGAGGTTTATTTCATATTCCTCTGCTGGAGGTTAAGAGTAAACAAAATCTAACAATCTACTTTCTTAACATAATCAAAGAAATATAATTTAAAATGGAAGGTTTGTACATAATACCCTAATTTTGAAAATGATGCCATTTCCAATGTTTCTTCAGTCTCCAGAACTTAGACTGAAATCAATGACTGGAATAAGAATAATTGAGATGCATTTGATTAATCAACTAAAGTTCTCCTTGAAAAGGACGCTACTGAAGTCCATTTCAATTGTCTAAACAAAACAATATAATGGATTTTAAAACTTGGCAGCAATAGTAACTAAGTTTATATTTCCAAGAAACTACATTTACTACTTAAATGTGGAAGCCTATTACAAGTTTCAGGTGAATTGGATCCAGCAATCTTAGGACTGAAGTAGCCCTGCCTGCCTCTGCTTCATTCCTAAAGAACTCAACCTGTTTTCAAAGCTCATCTATTAAAGAATAATACTCAGCATCTAATTTAAATGCTTAACCTGATTACAAGCAGTTTACAAATACCACCTGATAAAAGAGCTTCTCTTGTCCCAGCTTGGTGGCTCATGCCCATAATCCCAGCACTTTGGAAGGCCGAGGTAGGCGAATCACTTGAGGTCAGGGATTTGAGACCAGCCTGGCCAACATGGTGAAACCCAGTCTCTACTAAAAATACAAAAATTAGCTGGGCATGGTTGCGTGTGCCTGTAATCCCAGCTACTCAGCAGGCTGAGTCACGAGAATCGTTTGAACCTGGGAGGTAGAGGCTGCAGTGAGCCGAGATTGTGCCACTGCACTGCAGCCTGGGTGACAATGCGAGACTCCATCTCAAAAAAAGCAGGCCGGGCGCG